AGACGTGAGCCTGACGAGCAGCGTCCCCCATCCGTCTCGGTCTCCAGACCCCCACTCTCAACTACTGAACCCCACCCCCCCCTGCCAGCTCTGGACGTGGAGGTTGAGGGAGTCTGAAGGCACGTGAGAGGGTTTGGTCTCGGGGATCAGGAGCCACAGGCACCAGCCTCGGTTTCCCCTTCTGCACATAGGGCAAGTCGCTTCTTGCTGTGTGAGGCTCTGGCATTTCCTGTCGGCAGCCCAGTACCGGGCGCATCCCCCGGGAAGTGACACAGGCCTTGCGATCAGTGACCCGCCTTTCCTAGAAGGCGGAACAGGAAGGCCAGGGGGCTCAGCCTTTTGTTGCGGTGTGTAGGGTGCAGCTGGGCCCTCGCCCTGGGCCACACACACAGGATGGCGTTTGCCCAGCTCTGTCCCCCCCCAGACACTCTGGTGGCCAGCCAGAACACAGCACCCCATTCTGCTGATGGGGAAACTGAGTTCTGGAGACGTTGCACAATTTCCCCCGGGCCACCCAGCCAGAACCAGACTCCGGATGTGTCCTCCACCACAGGGGTGGAAGTCAGGCAGCCCAGCACAGTAGAAGCTCGGGACAGTCCCCTCGCCTCCCTGTGCCTCAGTTTCCTCCACCCCTCCCCCCCCGCCCCGTAAAACGGGCACAATAGCGATTCCTGCCCCACGGGGGTGAAATGCAAGAATGCACAAGAGGCGTCGGCCAGGCAGCTGGCACCTCTTCGTGCTGCTATTAGTACTGATCCCGGCATGCCCCAGAAGTGACGGGGGTCTGGGGTGCCACGTCGCGGGGTCCCGACTGGGCCTGAGCTCTGAAAGGGGGCGGTTCCCTGTAGGATCGTGGACGTCGGGGGCCAGAGGTCAGAACGTAAGAAGTGGATCCACTGCTTCGAGAATGTGATCGCGCTCATCTACCTGGCCTCGCTGAGCGAATACGACCAGTGTCTGGAGGAAAACAACCAAGAGGTGAGGGGCCTCCCCCCTCGATGGCCCAGGGACCCGCCGCGGAGCAGGGGACCCCACATCGCTCTCGAGCGGGCCTGTGTGTGTCCGGCGTGGCTTTGAGCTTCACCCTCTACTCTCGCGCGGTCAGCCCACTGAGCCCCAAGACAGATGCACAAGGACTTGTGTAGCCAGGACCCTGGACATGCGCGTGTGCATGTGTGCGCACACACACACACACTGAGGGATGCTCAAGCCCAGGACATGGCCCCCCCAGAGGCACAACACAAGCTGTCCCGGGTAACAGGTCCCACTGCGGGGTCCCGCCCTGCTTTCATTCAGAAAGTCCGGGGATCGCTTGTGTTCTATGAATGTGAACTCTTCTCCTGATTAACACCTGGGCACGGAGGTCGGGCACCACGTCATCTCTGAAGTGGGCCCCTCCAAGGGTCGCAGTTTCACAGCAACAGTTTGGGGATCCGAGCGTCCGATGATCTAATTCTGACTTTCAGACTGAATCACACAGGATGAGTCTGAGGTTATTCCGACACAGCCCTTGCTCGAATCCAGCCACACGAGACGTCCCAGTTTGCTAGGGCTGCCGCGGCAAAGGAGCACCAGGCGGGAGGCTGAAACAACAGAAACTTATCCTCTCACGCTTCTGGAGGCCGGAGGCCAGAGGTCGAGGTCCAGCCTCCGGGGCTCCTGGCATCCTCCGTGGTCGTTGCCTTGTAGATGCCTCCCCTCCTCTCTGCCTCCATCTTCACGTGGCGTCCTTGCTGCGTGCCTTCTGTGTCCTCCTTTCCTCTTTCCAAAAGGACACCAGTCCTTGGACTTAGGGCCACCCTACTCCAGTATGACCTCTTAAATAATGACATCTTCCGAGACCCTATTCCCAAGTAAGGCCACATTCTGAAGTTCCAGGTGGATGTGAATTTCTGGGTGGGGGACGCCAGTCACACCAGTTCAGGCACAAAACCACATCGGGCACACACGGGCAGCTGGCCACACGAAAGTATGGGCACCCCCCTCTGACCCAGCCCACCAGGAACTGGGGAGCCCAAGCCCCTGGACTGTGGGCCGACAGCCCCATGTCCACGTGGAGGGAGGGCTCCTGTTCGGCCCAGGTGTCCGGCTGGAGCAATGACCTGCCTGTGTCCCCCGACCTAGAACCGGATGAAGGAGAGCCTGGCCCTGTTTGGCACCATCCTGGAACTTCCCTGGTTCAAAAGCACCTCCGTCATCCTCTTCCTCAACAAAACCGACATCCTGGAGGAGAAGATCCCCACCTCCCACCTGGCTACCTACTTCCCCAGTTTCCAGGGTGAGTGCTTCTAGAACTTTCTCTACCCTCCTACTTTCTAGGGCCTCCCAAAAGCAGTGTGTCTCTCTCTTTAACCCAGTTCTGCCCAAAGTCCCAGAGCCGAGTCTCATTGGTCCATTCCAGGTCATGTGACTCAGCCAGGCCTGCTCCTATTGGCTGAGCCTGGGTCATGTGACATGCTGGAAAGCCCAAACATGGCGACCCCCTGCAGGAAACCGTGGTGCCTGGTCCCTGGCGCCCCTGGTTCCCTGCTGTTGCCCGTCTCGGGAAGAGGGTCTCCAGGGCGCCCCTTGGTCCCAGGAGGGAGGGTCTCCCGGGTGCCCTGACCGCCCACTGCCGCCCCGCAGGCCCCAAGCAGGACGCGGAGGCGGCCAAGAGCTTCATCCTGAACATGTACGTCAGCATGTACGCCAGCTGCGTGGACGGCGCCGACGCTGACCGGAAGGGCCCGCGCTCCCGGCGCCTCTTCAGCCACTACACGTGCGCCACGGACACGCAGAACATCCGCAAGGTCTTCAAGGACGTGCGGGACTCGGTCCTGGCCCGCTACCTGGACGAGATCAACCTGCTGTGACCCAGGCCCCACCGCCCCCGGGCTCGGACCCCCGCGCAGCAGGCGACACCTGCGGGCAAGCGGGCAGGAGGCGCGCCCGGATGACCCTGGTGGCTCCAGGCTCAGGGGGCGGAAGGGCCGCCAGGGAGTCGGAGATGGAAGGCTGGTCGCCGCCCCGACCCTTCTCTGCCCGTCGCCAGGACAGATCCCGGGGTCTCCCTCCCTTGACTCAGTTTACCCCCTTGGGGAGGGAGCATTTGGGATGGCAGGGTGGAGGAAGAGGTGAAGAGAGCGGGGGACCGAGAACTTGGTGGGTGGAGGACAGAGCCCCACAGCCAGGTATGTCCCCTCCTGGGCGGGGGTATGTCCCCTCCTTGGGACCCGCCTGGGGGTGACGCAAGCTCTCTGGAATGGGGAAAGTGGTCCTTCAGGGGGAGGGATGCGGACTCTTGCGCCCCCTGGCGGACAGGAGGCGACATCTCCCAGCCTGAGATCTGGGTATGGCCCGCACTTCCCTTTTCTTGGGGGGGGGGAAGAGACACCCCCGGAAGACGCTGTCCCTTTCAGAGCCTCGTGGCTCAAAGTGTGTCCTGACCCGGTTTGCAGAAGAGGGACACCGAGGCCCACAGGCCTCCCCGCTCCTTCCCTGGCTGGGATGCAGGCACGCTGCGTCTTACATCCTTCTCTATTTATTCTCTCACCTTCTGCGGGCCCCTTGCCCGGTGGACATTAAAGGAATGACATTCTGGAGACCTATGATTTCTTAGGGGCGTCCTGTTGATTCCCCCCCGTGGTCCCATCTCAGGTCGCCCGTCCTGGGCAGGGTATCAACATGGCGAAGGAAGCAAAAAAGTTCTACTTGTTGTCCACCCGCCTGTGCTGGATTGTGCGCACTTTGAGCCAGGAGGTGGAGTCCGGTGACTCTCCCTGGCCCGGTGGGGGGCGTTTGAGCCCACTCACCCCAAATTCCGGCAGCAGCCCTCACTCATCGCTGATGAAACTGAAGAAGATTCCAGGTTGTGGTCTCGCGCCATCCTCAGGGCACCGCATGTGACACAAGCCGCATCACCCCCATTTTACAGATGAGGAAACTGAGGCACGGAGGAACGGAATAATTTGACTAAGGCTACACGCCTGGGAGCTGGCGGAGCCAAGATCCTATGATTCATTCAGGACCTTTTTTTTACTTTAAAAAAAATAAACTTTATGTTTTAGAATAGCCCTAGATTTACAGAAAACCTGTGAAGATAGTACAGAGAGTGGCGTTATAAAGCCACACCCAATTCCGCCATTCTTAACATCTTATTTTATATGGTACATTTGTTTACCATTAATGAACCAATATTGACACATTTTTAAGTGAAGTCCATACTCTATCCAGACAGCCTTAGTTTTCCCCGATGTCCTTCTGTCCCAGAACCCCACGTGACACTGAGTCGACACGTCTCTTTGGGCTCCCCTGGGCTGTGATGGTTTCTCTGACTTTCTGTGTTTTTTGACGACTTCACAGGCCTGACGGGTGCTGGTAGGTATCACGTTAGTTTCCTGTGGCCTCTGTAACAAAGTGCCACAGTCCAGGGGCGGGGGCTCCCCGGGAGGGTCCTTCCTGCCTCTTCCAGCTTCTGGGGGCCCCAGGTGTCCCTCGGCTTCTGGCTGCTCCGATCTCTGCCTCTGTCTCTGTGTCTCTGTCTCTCTCTTTCCGGGAAGCACGTAACAACATAACATCTGGTTGGTTCTCTCTCTCTCTCATGTAAAAATTGCTCCGTGGGTTTCTGGCGCATCAGTCCGATCCATCCGTCATGGATTTCCCCATGAACCTCTCTCCTAATGGTCTGAGCAGCCATTGATCATCATTGCTGAGATATTTCATTAGGGGTTGCAAGAATGGTGACTTCTGCTTTTATTTCTTCTGGAATTATTCTATGAAAAAAAATGCTCACCCAAAAGAATTGGAAGCAGGATCTTAAGAGATATTTGTACACGCATGTTCTCAGCAGTAGGATTCACAGTAGCCAAGAAGTGGAAGCAGCTCAAGTGTCCGTGGATGGATGATGGATCCACACAGTGTGGTCCATCCAGATGCTGGAATATTACGCAGCCGTGAAAAGGAAGGAGATCCTGACACCTGCTCCAACATGGACGGACCTGGAGGACGTGATGCTCAGTGACATGAGCCAGACACAGAGGGACACACACTGTGTGGTCCACTCACAGGAGGTCCCCAGAGGAGCCACATCCACAGAGACAGAAAGTGGATGGGGGGCCAGGGGCTGGGGGAGGGGTGGGAGTCAGTGTTTCATGGGGACAGAGCTTCAGTTTGGGGAGATGGAAAGTTCTGGAGACGGATGGAGGGGATGGTGGCACAACCGTGTGAATGTGCTTCATGCCACTGAGCTGCTCACTTAAAAATGATTAAGACGGTCAATCTTATATTATGTGCATTTTACCACAATTAAAAACAATTTTTAAAATGTAGTATGATAAAAAAAAAAAAAAAACCTCTCCTTAAATAATTGGTCACCAGAAATAAAGGCCACGCAGGACAGACAGGATAAATGCCTGATTCTGGCCTTTTATTTAGCAGTTTTCAGAAGGATGAGTTGGTTCCCCAGTATCCATGAAAGAGAACCAAAGAGAGTTTCCCTTTCAGGTCACTGAGCTCATGGGTGTGAAGGTTTGACGTGTATCCATACACAGCGGGTCGTTTCCGTTCTTTATGCCCACGCTGTTCCGTCTTTGGCCAGTGGAAACCTCTCTGGGTTGGCTCCTTAGTCCCTTTGATGTGACCCCAGTGACCTTAAGAGCTCAGAGTTCCGCACAGCGAGATGCTTCCAGTTAGGAAATCCTGATTTTCTTCACTCATCTTTTTATTTTGAAAAGATTTCAAACCTCCAGAAGTTGCAAAGCCATGACAATGATGCCCCCTATACCCTTCACTGAGGTCAGAGGTCAGTGCATTTCCTGCTCAGAGCCTGTTTTGTTAATAAAGTTTTATTGGCACACGGCCCCGCCCACTATTTACACATCGTCCTGGCAGCAGAGTTGAGGAGATGCAACAGAGACTGTCCGGCCCTCAAAGCCGAAAATATTGACCCTTTGGCCCTTTGCAAAAAAAAATTCCCCACCCGTGAGATGGATCCACCTGTGATTAACCTTTTGCTTTATATTTCTCAATAAACGTAATCTAAAAGTATACAATATTTTCTATAGAGAATATATGCGTTCTTATTCTTTTTAACTTTTCTAAATAATTTGAGAGTAAGTTGGAGACCTCATGCACCTTTGCTCCAGACCAGAGGGCGTCGATACAATAATATTATCTAATACACAGTCCGTGTGAAATTGTCACCGGTGGTCCCAATATCGTCTTTTACTCCAACTTTCCTCTGTTTCTGGAGTCCAGTTGGGACCACTCATTGCATTTCGTGTCATGCATCTTGGGTCTCCTTCCATCCGAGACAGTCTTGGGCTTTCTCCATCTGTCATGACCTTTCATGACCTTGACCCTTTCGAAGGGTACAGGCCAGTTATTCTGTGGGATGTCCCCCAGTGTGGGTTTGTCGGTGGTTCCCACGATCAGGTGCAGGTTATACACTGTGGGCGGGAATATTTTGGAAGCGGTGTGTCCTTCTCGGGGCGCCATGTCAGGAGGCCCAGGGTGCCTGTTTAGCGCATTGATGGGGATGTTTAATTGGATGGCTCGGTTACAGTGACATTCACGAGCTTTCTCGAGTCACTCGTTTTTCTCTTTGTGACGGACGAGTAACCTGCAGGAGGATACTTTGAGATTATGTAAATATCCTGCTCCCCAGCGAACTCAATAATTTTAGCATCCGTTGTCGATTCCTGCCTGGATTCGTGAATGCCGCGATGGTTACAAAATGTCGGGGTTTCTAGCTCTGTTGTTGAGGAGATGCTGGGTCACGTGGAAAGATCATTCTTTTTTTTTTTTTTTCCAAATTTTTTTATTGTGGTAAAATACGCGTAACGTAAACTTTATCATTTTAACTATTTTAAGCGTATGGCTCAGTGGAGTTAAATATACTCATAATGTTGTGCAGTCGTCACTGCCATCCATCTCCAGAACTCTTTTCATCTTGTAAAATTGAAACTGGCCCCTGTTCAATGCTAACTCCCCTCCCCCAGCACCCCCGCCACCGTCTACTTTCTGTCTCTATGATTTTCAGATTATTCATTGTTGTTTTTTTCTTTTTGCTGAGGAAGATTAGCCCTGAGCTAACATTTGCTGCCAGTCCTTTTCTTTTTGCTGAGGAAGACTGGCCCTGAGCTCACATCCGTGCCCATCTTCCTCTACTTTATACGTGGGACGCCTACCACAGCATGGCTTGACAAGCGGTGCCATGTTCGCACCCGGGATCCGAACCAGGGAACCCCAGGCCGCCGAAGCGGAACGTGCGCACTTAACTGCTGCACCACCAGGCTGGCCCCTAGATTTTTGTTTGAGTCCCGAGTCCACGCGGATACTTTCCATCCTGTTCCATCGCCACGGTTCTTTCCTGCATTCTCCCATTGCATGTTTGCATCTTCTTTCTCCCTCAGTGAGGACTTGGTTCCTAACAATATCGATACACTTGGTACTTTGCTCAAGTCCCAGAACACACACGATAGTTTCAGAATTGCTACACTCATACCACTCCCGAAAACAGATCTACCACCAGAATTCAAATTGTTTTGCAGCTCTTTTTGTCTTTTTGTCTTTTTGAGCGAGTCCTGTGTCCCAAAGTGGCATAAACTAATTCTTTTCTATTTCGGTGTGGTTATATTTTTCATTGGAAATACAGTTCAGTTTGTCTGTTTTCTATGTTCCATCTTAAAGCTTTTTTCCTCCATCCTTGATTTAATTTTATTGTTGAATATAGGAAGCATTAACAGAGCTTGAAAACTATACTGAGAGGAATATAGAGGGTGTCATCCTCTCCTCTTTTCAATTTCAATCCCACCCACCCCTCGTGGGAAACCTATTTCGTTGGTTCCTGGTTTATTGCTCCTGTGTTTCATTTCCGAAACCAAGAAGATATGTGTATATTTTATTCTCCTTTCTTACACAAAAGGTAGCACATTACATAGACTCTTTTGTACTTTTCCCCTCACTTACCAGTGTGTCCTGGAAATCACTCCATTCCATTCACAGGAGTCATCTCCATTCTTTTTCCTGGCTGCATAGTACTCCGTTCTGGGAGACAGCAGTATCACCTGTCCATCCTGTGTGCAGGCATTTGGGTTGCTTCTAATATTTGCATTTTCAAATAACAACGAATAACCTGCATGCACTCTTGGGTATGGGTAGAGCTGTGTCTTCAGGGCAGATTTCTGGGGGGGTTGCTCTTCTGTAGCATGTGGATAAATGAGATTAAATAAGGCAGAATGCACAAGTGGCCATACGCCTAGGTGGCAAGTAACTCAAGGCCAAGGTCATTGTCAGACAGCTTGGCTTTGGTAGTCAAACTCTATGTTCTCAAAGCATTTTACTTTAGTCCTGAATTTGCTCTCGGAGCCCAGGGTCAGGGGCTCAGCCAGGTCAGGGGTCAGAGTTGGGGTCAGCCTATGGTCATAGATTCAACCAAGGTCAGGGTTCAGTCTGGGATCAGGGCTCAGTCCAGGATCAGGACTCAGTCTAGGATCAGGGCTCAGTCCAAGATCAGGGCTCAGCCTGGGATCAGAGCTCAGTCCAGGATCAGGGATCAGTCCAGCATCACAGCTCAGCCTGGCCTCAGGACTCAGGCCAGCATCAGGGCTCAGCCTGAGATCAGGGCTCAGTCCAGGATCAGGGCTCAGCCTGGGATTAGGGCTCAGTCCAGGATCAGGCTCAACCTGAGATCAGGGCTCTGTCTAGAGTCCAGACTCAGCCTGGGATCAGGGTTCAGTCCAGGATCAGGGCTCAGCCTTGGATTAGGGTTCAGTCCAGAAACAGGGCTCAGCTTTAGATCAGGGCTCAGTCTAGGATCAGAGCTCAGTCCAGGATCAGGACTCAGCCTGGGATCAGGGCTCAGTCCAGTATTGGAGCTCAGCCTGGCATCAGGATTCAGTCCAGAGTCCAGGCTCAGTCCAGTCTCAGGGCTCAGTCCAGGATCAGAGCTCAGCCTGGGATCAGGGCTCAGTCTGTGATCGGAGCTCAGCTTGGGATCAGGGCTCAGCCTGGGGTCAGGGCTCAGTCTGGGGTCCGGGCTCAGCCTCAGAACACACAATGTGTCTCTCCGTGACTGTGCCGGTCGGGTGGTGCCTTGTGAGGTGGAGACTGAGGCTGGGTTGTCCTGCTGTGCGGGGTGGCACCTGGCTGAGGCTTGGCTGCTTGTCCCCCACCAGCAGCCTCACACCCCAGCTGCCCTCACAGCTGCCTCACAGCCCCTCCTCCCACAGCCTCACCCCTCAGATCCGTTTCTGCTCGGTCACCTCCAGTGACAAGAAGCTGCCACCTCCCCAGCAGCACTTGCTCTGAGCGTCCCTGCCACTGTCCCGTGCCTGCAGCTGGACAGTGACGAAGGGAGGGTGCTGGTCAGAGCCACTGCCCCCTGCTGCCCTCAACTCCCATCTCCTGCCCACCCCCACCTCCATGGAGAGACCGGAGCCCCTGGGGGGACCCCAGTGCCCATTATGGGATGTCTGCCCCTCCCGCCCCAGACCTCAGGGCAGCTCCAGTCCACGCACCCCCACCACTTCCTCTCCCCCACCTGGTGCCCAGACCTCGGTCCTCAACCGTCTCAGCTTGAGGCAGCCTGAGCCCGGGGAGGACGGACATGGGATGGGGGCGTGGGCTTCCCCTTTTCCTGGGAGCCCCATCCCCTCCTGATGTTAGAGGCTGCCTGGGTCGGGGTCCCCAGCTCTGCTCCTTGCAGGGCCAGCCCCAGGGGCCGGAGAGGCGACTGAAGGCCCTGGTGAGGACGGTCCTGGCTGAGACCCGGACGTGTGCTGTCCACTTCCCGCCATGGGTTCTCTGGGGGGACCCGGAGCAGCTGGTGCCACCCGCTCCAGGCCTCAGTTTCTCCCTCTATGGACAGGTATACTGCAGGTCAGTCCTGGCCCTGTCTTCCATACCACCGATGAGGTAGCCATCGGTGCTCATGTGTGTGCAGTCACGCAACAAGCATTTATTAAGCACCTACTGTGTACCAGGCAGGCTCGGAGCAGTTGGGGAGACGGTGATGGAACAGCGGGGTGCTGGAGGGGGTGGCTCCAGCTGGGGAAGGGGGAGTCGCCCAGCCTGGAAGGAGAGGCAGGTGCCGTGGGGGGGCCATCTCCCCTCCCCTCTGGGGCCCCCACCCCGCTGTCAGCTTTCGAGGACCGGAAGGGGGCAGAGACGGGGTCTCGAAGCCGAGCGTGCATGCTTGCGTGCGGCGCCCTCCGGCAGCTGGGGTGGGAGCCGGCCGACCGTTGGCTGCTCCGCCCCTGCCTGGCCGCACCCCCACCCTGGGGGTACCTTGAGCATAACAGGAAATTTCAAACAACAGGAAACCAAGAGAGGGCAAGGCAGCGGCTCCACCCTGCCCGGGGGCCAGCCACCCCGGGGCCTCAGTCTGCCCCGGGGGACCGCCATGAATGCCACGGGGTCCCCGGCCGAGGCCCCCGAGTCCTGCCAGCAGCTGGCGGCCAGCGGGCACAGCCGACTCATCCTCCTGCACTACAATCACTCGGGCCGGCTGGCGGGGCGGCCGGGGCCCGAGGACGGGGGCCTGGGGGTCCTTCGCGGGCTCTTCGTGGCCATGAGCTGCCTGGTGGTGCTGGAGAACCTGCTGGTGCTGGTGGCCATCGTGACCCACATGCGGTCCCGCCGCTGGGTTTACTACTGCCTGGTCAACATCACGCTGAGTGACCTGCTCACCGGCGTGGCCTACCTGGCCAACGTCCTGTTCTCGGGGGCGCACACCTTCCGCCTGGCGCCCGCCCACTGGTTCCTGCGGGAGGGCGTGCTGTTCATGGCGCTGGCCGCCTCCACCTTCAGCCTGCTCTTCACCGCCGGCGAACGCTTCGCCACCATGGTGCGCCCGGTGGCGGAGAGTGGGGCCACCAAGAAGGGCCGTGTCTGCGGCTTCATCGGGCTGTGCTGGCTGCTGGCGGGGCTGCTGGGGCTGCTGCCCCTGCTCGGCTGGAACTGCGTGTGCGCCTTCCAGCGCTGCTCCAGCCTCCTCCCGCTCTACTCCAAGGCCTACATCCTCTTCTGCGTGGTCATCTTTGCCTTCATCCTGGCCACCATCACGCTGCTTTACGGGGCGATCTTCCGGCTCGTGAGGGCCAACGGGCAGAAGGCCGCGCGCGCCCCGGCCCGCCGCAAGGCCCACCGGCTGCTCAAGACGGTGCTCATGATCCTGGTGGCCTTCGTGGTGTGCTGGGGCCCCCTCTTCGGCCTGCTGCTGGCCGACATCTTCGGCTCCAACGTCTGGGCGCAGGAGTACCTGCGGGGCATGGATTGGATCCTGGCGCTCGCCGTGCTCAACTCGGCCGTCAACCCGCTCATCTACTCCTTCCGCAGCCGCGAGGTGTGCCGGGCCGTGGTGGCCTTCCTGTGCTGCGGCTGCCTCCGGCTGGGCCTGCGGGGGCCCGGCGACTGCCTGGCCCAGGCGGCCGAGGCGCACTCCGGGGCCTCCACCACCGACAGCTCGCTGAGGCCCAGAGACAGCTTTCGGGGTTCCCGGTCGCACAGCTTTCGGATGCGCGAGCCCCTGTCCAGCGTCTCCAGCGTGCGGAGCGGCTGAGCCACAGCAGTGGGGGGGGGGCCCACGGTCCGGCCGCCGGGGCGTGCCCGGGGCTCAGCTGCAGAGAGGGTGGCCCAGGACGGGTGAGCCGCGGGCCTGAGGGGCGCGCAGGGGTGCAGCAGGCGGGCCCGGATGGAGAGGAGGGGACAGAGCCGTCAGACAAGGCCCTGCGGACGCCACGGAAAGTCCTAGGAACTGGAGGTGACTCTTCAGTGGGACAGAGGGCGCCCCGGAGTGGGGGTGCGTGAGTTCCTGTACGTGCCTGGCTCCTGTGTGATTCTAAGGCAGCCCCAGCCCCTCTCTGGGCCTCAGTGGGGCTCTCAGCCTGCAAGGGGCTGGCTGTGGGGTCGACGCCCTGGGAACATGGAAGTTCCGTGACGGTCCGTGATGTCACAGCCTCCCTCTTGTTCTCGCGTGCGCCCGGGCGTGACGGCACGGGGCTGTGGGTCTGCCGGCCGCATGCACGGAGGTGTGCCCGTGCCCAGGGAGGGGCCAGGGCTCTGTGTGCTATGGGGGCTGTGGTCGTGAGGGCGAGTGTGTGTGCGTGAGAGAGCGAGGCGGCGAGCAGGACGGGTCGTGCTCGGGAGCGTGTGCTGGCGTGTCCACGCGTGCACAGCATCTCCCATCTGAGGGCGTGTGTCACCCGACCGCTCTGCTGAAAAGCGTGTGTGTGAGTTTCGAGACCGCCGGGCGGGGGCCCCTGGTGACAGTTGACACCAGCCCCATCCCGCTCACTTCCCCTTTCCCTGCCCTCGCTGTCACCTCTGGCCCCGAGGCCTCCTTCCCCCTGGGCTCTGGCCTCTGCGTCTTTTGGGGGGCCCCGTCGGGGGGGCCAGCAGAGGGATGGCCGCCTGGCTCTCCTGGCCTCGGGGAGCCCCGCCTGTTCCTCTGGAAGGCCCTTGAGCACGCTGCCTCACTGTCCCCATCTGCAAAAGGGGCTGAGGTCAGAGGGCACCCACGGCAGGAGGTCGCGGGCCACGCTCAGCGCTGCTGGTGATGGACACGTCCTGCACCGTCGCCGTCCGCTACAGGAGCCCACGTGGCCACGGAGCGCTTGCTGAGCGGCCCGTGCGCGACCGAAGAACTGAACTTTGAATGGTATTTAATTTGAATTCGTTGGCATTTAAATAGCCCCCGGGGACTATGGGACAGCGCGGGTGGACCCTCGACACGCGGCCACCTTCTGCTGGTTGAACGTCCTCTCGCCGTCCTCCGAGGGCCACGCCAGTGCTCGCGGCTTTTCGGCTCCGTCTGGCCGAGCTCCCTGGAGCGCCCTGCCTGATGGCGCGGGACGGCCCTGCTCTGTGCCTCTGTTTCCCTCCGCACCACGGGGGACGCGGTGACGGACATTGCGGCAGCCACGAGCCACGTGTGGCTACTGAAAATGAATTAAAATGAAATGAAATGTCAAAATGCGGCTTCTCGGGGTCTCCATTGGCTGGAGCTGCCGGGTCCCGGGCAGCAGGCTGGGCGGCTTGAGCGACAGAAATGGGTCGTCTCGCGGTCTGGAGGCTGGGGGTCCCGGATCCAGGGGTCGGCGGGGCTGGGTCCTGCGGAGGCCAGGGGTCGGGAGGAGTCTGTCCCCTGCGCTCAGAGATTCTGGGGGTCCTGGCCATCCCTGGCGGTCCTTGGCTGTGGATGCATCGCCCCATCTTATCTCCACCTTCACGGTGGCTTCTCCCTGTGCGCACGTCTGTGTCCAAATGTCCCCTTTTGATAAGGACGCCGTATTCCAGTGTGACAACTGATGACATCTGTAACCAGCCTGTTTCCTAATAAGGTCCCCGTCTGAGGTCCTGGGACTTAGGGCTTCAACATATAAATTTGAGAGAGAGCACAGTTCAGCCCGTGACAGTCACACTCGCCACAGGTCAAGCGCTCAGGAGTGACACGTGGCTCGAGGCTACTGTTTTGGGCCGTGTCGATGCGGGACATTGCCATTAGCACGTATCCGGTTGCCCCACTGCTCATATTTTCCTGACTCCCATTCCCCGTGTGTTTATCTGGGATGGTGACAGGAGGGGGGTGGGGGAGGTCTTGGTGGAATTAGGGGTGCGTGGAGCCTGGGCCACCCCAAAGCTCTAGCCTGCCTTCTGGGCCTGTGTGAGCTGCCCTGGTCGGTCCCTGCGCCCCACGGAGCATCATATGCTTTGTTTTGACTGAGTGGAACGCATTTACTTCTCCCTCCTACCACAGGGCCTTTGCACCAGCCTTTTTGTCCCCACCAAGGCCGCCTGCCTGGCACATGCCTACCCTCATTCTTTACTTGCCTACTGCCTGTCCATCCTGTTGGTCTCAGCTTGAGCATTGCCTCCTCCAGGAAGTCCCCTCTGATTTCGCCTCCTCCTGAGGCCTCCTCCGGGCTCCCATGGCTGCCTGTGTGTCCCCATCACAGCTCCGATCACCCCTGGTCATGAGCCCAGCTCCTCCTCTGGACTGTGAGCTCCAGTGGTGGCGACTGTGGCCATGTCCGGGTCACCGCTGTGTCCCCAGCACCCAGCACACAGCAGGTGCTCAGTGACCTGGGGCTCTGGGAGAATTGGAGCCAGCAGCCTGCCTTCCGCGGAGCCCTGAAACCTCCTCCTCTCCTTCTTCCCCAGCCCAGCCCTCCTCCCTGACTGGACGACCCCAAGAATCCCGACTTCTGCTCATCAGGTGGCCCGGGGGTCTGTCACCTGTTATGGTTCCCCAGCTCTGCACACGCCAGGGCCTCAGCCTGCTCACCTGTCACACGAGGCTACTGACAGCCCCGTCTTCCTGGGATGTCGATAAGGAGAGGCCTATAAAGGGCCGCAAACTATTGCGGGTTTGTTTTAAAATGAATAATAATAACAAGACTTATATATCACTCGGTGCCTGGTGTTGTTCTAATCGCCTTTGTATTAACTCCTTTAATTGCCACAGTACCTCCAGGAGGCAGATACCACCATCAACTCTATTTAACAGATGCAGAAATGGAGGCCCAGAGAGGTTAGGAGACTTACCCAAGGTCACACAGCCGGGAAACGGCAGGGCTGGGATTCAAACCTGGGGTTCTTGATCCCTGCCTGTTACTGCCTCTCTGAGGAATGAACAAACAAGCAGAGGACTAAGCGAATGAATGAATGAATAAATGAATAAAAGAATACTAGTTCCTTCCCTCGTTGGAAAACTCAGAACGAGCGTTCCAGTTCATTCTTTGGGCCACCTGCGGTTTCACTTCCGCGAAGCAGATCAGTTAAATCTCCCCATTTTGCAGAAGGGAAAACCAGCGCTCAGGCGAGGACGCGACGTGGGCAGATCCAGGGTCGAGGCCTCGCCATCTGGGCCCAGGTGAGGCCCGGCTGCTGGCTGGCCTCCGGGCGAGCGTGTGTGTACCCGGAGCCCGGCCCGGGGAGGGGCAGATGGAAGAAGCCGGGAAGGCCCGTTTGCTGACCGAGCACACGTGGGCCCAAACGAGTTCTCGTCCCTTTTCCCGCCCTGCCAGGCCACTCCTGACTCCTCGGCCCTCCTAGGACCCCCTGGAGGGGCCTGGGGGTGGCCGGAAGCAGGGGACTCAGCTGGGATGGGTGGGCTGGTCTGTTGGGGCTTTCATGACTCATTCATTCACTCAAGCACCACGTGCCGGGCTCTGTTCTGGGCACACACACAACCCGGGGTGCCTGCTGTCATTAAGGTCCCCCTCTGCTGGGGTGACAGACACCTCCCTGAGGAATGTCCAGCATCATTTCAGTAAGGAGTTCGCGGTGCAGAAAGGTGTGGGGACAGCATTCGCGGGAACAGCCGAGGCGACAGCCCTGAGGCTGCACGAGCTGGGTGCATTCTCGTAACACCCACACTTATAGAGTGCTTACTGTATGCCTTCCTCTTTGCAAGCAAGTTTATGTAGATTATCTTCTTGAATTCCTACACACCCCCGGGAGGAGGGGGAGAGCATTTAATTATTTATCATCATATTTGGCGGCTGAGGAAACCAAGGCTCAGAGAGGGGAAGCGACTTGCCCGAGGTCACACAGCTGGGAAGGGGAGGAGCCGGGATTTGAACCCATTGCTGTCGCCACCTGTCACTCGGGACGGAAGCGAGGCCCCAAGTCCTCAGGCAACCGTGTTGAAGCCTGGGATGTCAACTCGCTGGGGGCCAGGGCTGCAGTGCTCTGCACCCTGTGGCCTCAGTCTCCCCATCTGTACGCAGGGATGTGAGTTACTGATGCTCCTCAGGACTCCTGGCCCTGAGACAGTAGGCTCTTAGGATTGCCAGGTTAGAAAATACAAATTTGGGACACCTAGTAGAATCTGAATTTCTGGTGGATAGCGAATAATGTTTTACTATGAATATGCCCCAAATATGAATAAGCACGAGTGTAAGTATTTTTTACTGTGTCCCAAATATGAATAAGCATAAGTATAAATAGTTTTTTACCACGAGGATACTCTAAATATGAATAAGCATGAGTGTAAATAGTTATATGCCAACCCCTGTGGGAAAACCAGGGTCCAGACTACAAATCCCATAATCCATTGCGTCATCCCTTTATAAAGCTTCTATCGTGATTTTTTTACTCTCATTCATTCATCCAAAAATTATATGGACCACCCACGGTATGTCAGGTCGTGTGTTAGGTTCTGGGGATACATCAATGCACAAAGCCGACAAAAGCCTTTGCCCTCATGGAGTTTAACATCTCCGTTCCTTCGGAGTTTTAAAAGATTTTTCTCAGACTTCACCCAGGAAGACTACAGCTCCCATGACCCCTTATGCTTGCTCGAAAGGACTACAATTCCCAGGAGACCTAGCGCACCAAGGCCAGCCCCTCTCTTCCTTCATTTCCAACTTCCTTCCGGGTCGCAAGGTCACCCACATCTCGCCTCCTCCCTCGCCTCACAACAAAGACAGAGTTTAAGTAAATTCCACTGCCAATAGTTTCTTTTAAGTCCAGGTATTTTCTGATTTTGAGTTTATGTGAAACTTTAGCAGATTTAGCTAAACAGCCCACCACAGCTTCCCGCATCGGGGAGTAAACGAATAGGCCTACAACTCCCAGGTGTCTCCACGCTCGCCTGGGGACTACAATTTCCAGCAGGCCGCGCGGCGGGCGGGGCGGTCCGCGGCCGTGCCCGCAGGACCCCGGAGCGAGCGCGGGCTGCCCGGCGCGGCGCCCGCAGGACCCGGGCGGCTACCCATGCCGAGGTGAGTCCGCGGGAGCCGCCGCCGCCGCCGCCGCCGCAGCCGCCGTTGCCGCCGTCGCCGCCGTCGTCCCGTCCCCGCCGCCGCCTCGCGCGGCCCCGTCGCCGGCCAGGATGCTGGAGGAAGCGGGCGAGGTGCTGGAGAACATGCTGAAGGCGTCGTGCCTGCCGCTCGGCTTCATCGTCTTCCTGCCCGCCGTGCTGCTGCTCGTGGCGCCGCCGCTGCCCGCCGCCGACGCGGCGCACGAGTTCACCGTCTACCGCATGCAGCAGTACGACCTGCAGGGCCAGCCCTACGGTGCGTGGACGCCTCCCCGCCGGCCCCGCGCCCGGGCCCGGCCTCGCCCGCGCGGCCTCCCTCTTCCCGGCCTCCCTCCTGGGCCCGGCCTCCCCCGTCCCGGCCTCCCTCCTGGGCCCGGCCTCACCCGTCCCGGTCTCCCCCGTCCCGGCCTCCCTCCTGGGCCCGGCCTCCCCTGTCCCGGCCTCCCTCCTGGGCCCGGCCTCCCTCATCTCGATCTCCCTCCTCCCGGCCTCCCCCCAAATCCCAGCCTCCCCCAAGCTTGGTCTCTCCCCTCCCAGCCTCCCCCGTCCCAGCCTCCCTCCTGGATCCGGCCTCCCTCCTCCGTCTGGCCTCCCCCTTCCTGCTCTCCCCGCTCTCCGCTCTCCCTCCCCCGGGCTTCGGTCCCCCCTGGCCAGGCAGCCCCCCTTCTGTCAACCTGGTCTCTGCTCCCCGGGCCCCAGGACCTGCCACTCCTGCCTGTCCAGCAGGCGTCCCGCCCACGGGCCTCATTTGGGCGGCCAGACCCTTAACCCAGGCCCCAGGCAAGTGACAGCCTGAGTGCCTGGACCCCTGCTCCGCCCCAGGAACCCACCCGGCTGGCTCCCACAGCCCCCCCGCCCTAACGAGGGCTCCTTGCCCGGGACCCAGAGCTCCTGCCTCAGCCCACGCTCCCCCCGCCTTGGAGCCTGGCTCCCCTTTTTCTCCATTCCCAGCTGGCCCAGAGTCTCTCTGCCCCGCGCCCTCCCCTGGACACCCCATGGGTGGGCTGTCCCACGAGTCAGGCCTGTGCACCCGAGCTGCCACCTTTGGCCTGCTGGCCGTGGACACCCTGCTCGGCCTCTGCCAGGCGGAGCTGCCCCGCCCTACATGGCCCTGGCACCGGGTGCTCTTTGTCCGCCGGCCGTATTCTGCCCCCATCAGGGCTCGAGGGCCCCCCGTCGCTAACACCGTCCTGGCCCCCAGTCCAGGCCCGTCTCCCCAGGCTCCCGGCTCTGCCCGGTCCCAGCTTGTGTGCTGGTTCCTCAGAATTGTCCGCTGAGCCCCCATCCCCCTTCTCAGGCTCCTCGCCTTTGGGCTCCTGGGGTCTTTTGGCCCCCCCGTCTCGTTCCCACTTTGGTGCATGTCTACTCCCTCAGCTCGCCGTCCTCACCCCAGCTCCCCAAACTCCGCCGGCTCCCCTCCCAGGATTTCTCGGTTGTCTGGCCCGGCTCAGGTCCCTTCCCCAGACGCCAGCCCAGATCCTGCTCAGCTGCCTGCTCCCCACCCCTGTCCCCTCGCCTGTCGCCTGTTGAGGTTTTCGTCCCAGTGCCCATGTCATTCTGAATTCCCTTGTTTTCTCCGGAGTGTAGCCATCTCTGGTGTTCCAGAAACTTCTGGCCTCTGGTTTTTGTTCCAGCCTGGTGCCTTAAGTCCTTGCAGGTCAAGGCCTGACCCCCCCTTGAAGGAGCCCCCCTCCCGAGTTCTGGTCCCCCGCATCTCAGAGCCCCGGTTCCCCTGCATTGGCCCCTGTTTTTGGAACTTCCCAGGCCCCGCGGGAGCCCCAGGCTCTGGAGAGGGGTCCGGAGTTCCCTCAGATCCCTCCTCGCCCCAGCGCTACGTCGTTTCTGTTTAGGGCAGTCGTTCTCAACCCAGGGGTCCCTGGGTGATGACTCTGTGGCTGTCACACTGGGGGAGCTCCTGGTATCGAGTGGTGGGTGCTCAGCCCCCACAGCACCCGGGACGGCCCCCGGGGAGGGACCCGGCTGATGTCTGCAGTGCCGGGGGCAGAGAGCCGGGGGTACGGTGGTGGCCTAGACCGGAGACCCCCCGGCCGCAGACGGTGGGAGGGAAGGCCGGGAGCCGCTGGCGCTGCGGGCGCGTTTCCAGGCGTCATCGGGCGTCCTCCTGAGCGGAGGGTCTACGCCAGCGCTGCCCGCTGGGACTTTTTGCGACAACGGACGGGTTCTGTGTGTTCACTGTCCCATACGGGAGCCACCGGCCGTAGGTGGCCATGGACACTTGAGACGTGTCCCGTGCAACGGAGGAAGGGGACTTTTTGCACTGTTTCATTGTAGTAAATCCAAACAGCCACGGGGGACTGGCGGGCGCCGTCCCGGGCAGCCCCGCTCTGGAGCCTCCGTTGGTTTCCCTGAGGAACCCATTGTCCGGGGGGCCCAGACCCTAGAGCTCGACGTGACCCGGTTCTTTCTGCTCAGCCGGCCCGGCTTGCCCGACTCACACTCGGGGCCATGCTCGGAGCCTCCTGTCCCTCGGGCGGCTGTCCTTGGTGGCCTGGACACCCCGTCTCTCCGGGCGGCTCCACGGTGTCCCATGTGCAGCCGACGGGCCCCCTCTCCCTGCACCTGCCCAGGCGCCAGGCTGCGGGCTCCCCATCTCCTCGGGGCAGATCCGGGGAACCCTCTCTC